CAGTGGCTCATGACTGTAATCTCAGCACTTCGGCATAGGATTGGAACAGGGGGTTTGGGCCTGGGTTTCAGCAACCTAGGGTAAGTTTTTTACCTCTTGTAGGCCTTAGTATTCTCTTCTCAAAAAAAGTCTTATAATACATACTAGTAATATATATCTTTCTGGTACACATTATCAGAGGCTGAGACAGGAAGATTGCTTGAGGCCAGGTGTTAGAGACCAGCCTGGGCAACATAGCAAGACTCTGTGTCTACTAGAAAAAATTTTTTTAATTAGCAGGATGTGGTGGCATGTGCCTCTGATCCCAGTTACTTGGGAGGATTGCTTGAGCCCAGGAGCCTGAGGCTACACTGAGCTATGATCTTGCCATAGTACCACAGCCTGGGCAACAGAACAAGATTCTCTAAATTAAAAAAAAAAAAAGTAATATCGGTGGCTGGGTTTCACCCCCCAGGGTTTCTTACAGATTTTATCTGAGTTGTAGCCTAGACATTGGGATTTGTAAACTCCTCAGGTGATTCTAATGCTCAGCCAACATTGAGAACCACTAGTTTAGAGGAAGTTATTCAACTGCGGAGTAGAGTTTAAAAGCTATGAAATCATAAGGTTCCCCAAAACTTCCGAAAGAGCAATTAGACAATTTAAAACTATTATACATCATAGGTCAGGTTAGTTTGTCTGTCTTCGAACTTGACTTCTTTATACCTTTTCCTCCCCTCTGCTTCAGGGTGGTCAATGAGGTTTCTACTGAACTGGCTGTGGGTCTACAGAAACATCCAGCGCTTTCATATTCAAGCCTGCTTGTTTCAAATCAGAGCCTCTGACCTTGATCACCGATATCTTTTCATGCCTTTCAAATGTTTTATTGAACAGTCATTCCCGTATTCATTCAGAAACATAGCACTGTGAGACGCAGGCTACACTTACATACTTGCCATACTTAATATCATCATAGGAGCTAAGGCAAAAAAACTGATCCAATGTAACACAAATTGCCAGGTGCGGTGGCTCACACCTGTAATCTGAGCACTTTGGGAAGCTGAGATGGGTGGATCCCCTGAGGTCAGGAGTTTAAGACCATTCTGGCTAACATGGTGAAACTCTGTCTCTACTAAAAATACAAAAGTTAGCCGAGCGTTTTGGTATGCACGTGTAGTCCCAGCTACTCAGGAGGCTAAGGCAGGAGAATGGCTTGAACTCGATAGAGGGATGTTGCAGTGACCCAAGATGAAGCCACTGTACTCCAGCCTGGGTGACAAAGTGAGACTCTGTCTTTAAGAAAGAATGTTGTGTTTGTGGATTAATGTTTTTGAACCAACAATACACAAAAAAGCTACATTTAATTGAATCTTGTCAATTCTAAGCATTTCAGAAAGGTGAGGCTTAATATATTTTCCCTTGTAAAACACAATACAAACTCGCAACTACATGCATCCCTACACAGACAGCTGCCACTATGACACCATTAACTCTTGGAGTCAGATGCCACTGATCATTTATAACTCATTCCTCCACTTTGTTCTCTACTAGCATTTGCAAAAGGATAGAATGGTATAATAAAAAACGATCAGAGAAAACACTGATCCCTAATTCACTTTGAATGTGAATGATGTGAACAGGTCATGATTTGATCTGGGAAGCAGGGCACTCAGGTTCCCTGATTTCTGGATGTGTGTTCACTGCCTGGCAAGCACCACGCTGATGGCTTTGGTGGTTGGACTTGTGATTCAGATGAGTCTGGGTCCAATCCCAGCTCCGCCACACACATTGTGACATGACCTGCGCAAGTCACCAATCAATCTAGGCTTCAAATGTCATTATTTATAAAGGTGGATGTTAACCCTGCCTTATAGTTTTAGATTATTAAATGGCTACTGTGACTAATGTTCCTGGCATGTAAACCATCTTCATCTTTATCGCACCCTCAAAAATACATATTAGTAGTATGTGTTATAAGACTTCTTTTTTAAGAAGAGAAAACTGAGCCCTAAAAACGTTACAAAACTGACCCTAGGTTACTCAGCTGCATTGAGCATACCCAGGCCCAAACCTCCTGTTCCAAATGGCTCGCCCTGGTTTGAGAACAGTATGTGTATTCCCCAAAGTAGGGTACATTGGATTTCCACTCTTATTTGAAGACACAGTATTAGCCTTGAAATATAAATAGTATCAGATGCACCCAAAAGCCAAAGGTGATGAGGAAGATATTAGAAGAGCTAGAGAATCACAATGATGAAATTAGAAAGCATCAGGCACACGGCGTCTTTCATGTCAATGGGAGTCTCATGGATAACTGAGAATTTCTCTCCCAGGACACGTAGAGGAAGCTGGAACCTACCTCCCAGGCATCCAAGAACGTTGCTTTTCCACCGATGATATTACCTTTATCATCTTTGGGCTGAATGTCATCCCCAGACTGTAAATACAGAATGAAAAGTTTACTGGAATCTTTATCAGGACACTTGGTTCTGTTAAACAAGGTTTCAGGGTCCGGATGCTTGCTAAATACCACATGTGCATACCAGTTTTTCAGGCTCTGCAGTACATACTACAAGAATGTGAGTTTAAATAAAATCTCTATATCTACTATAGCATATTAATCCATATATTTCAGAAACCACTGGATTGATGTTAAGATCTGCTGTTAGTACATTCCAGAAGCCACTGTTACCACCATGGGCATTAAGCTCATACACCTAGATCCTGTGTACACCCAAGGGCAAACTTTCATTTCAGTATCACTGGATAAGGATTAGATCTCCAGGGTGTGGTTTTCTGGGGAAGATATTGGCCAGCTTCTATCCTTGCAGCCTCTAGAAGAGACATGGAATGAGGGATGGCAGGCCATCAGCACTCCCGCTGGTCAGGAGGGGAGAGAGCTGGAAAT